ACCTTTGTGGGAGGACTATGTGGTCTGATCCAGTGGTTCTTAAAAGACTGATACCCTATAGGTGAAGACTGAACGTGCCTCTAAAAATCCAGAACATATGGCCAGTGTGGTTTTTTGAAAGAACCAAGTGGGTGTTGTGGAGGAAATAGAGCATTTTAAGAGTACCTCTAAAAGATTTAGGTCTCCAGGTCAAGGACTTATGATCTAAACACTACGAGATCCCTGTGAACAGCTGTATGCAGTGATAAGGTTACAGACGATGCATTCACATTACAACTCTGGGTTTTTTTTTCTACAGATGCTTCGTTGAAAATAATCTATATTTTGAACTGATAGCTTTATACATGAATTTCTTAAATGTAACAGAGCTAAACTTGAGTTGGGCCAAAGTAGCTTTTTGTGTGCCTGAATTATATGAGATCTTTAATTGAATTACATAGATTTAAATGGGATCTATTAGGTTTCTTATTTGGGGTTTTGTTTTGCATTGTAAAGCCTCAATCAGTCAAAAAAAAAAAGAAAGAAAGAAAAGTGTTTTTGTCTCCTTCTGATTTTGGGATTTAAAATCATGGTGTCCAATAAGCAGATAAGTGCAGCAGATAAATTTAGTTGCAGTATTCGTAATTCAGTTTTACCTAAACTCATACTTAACGGTTTAGTGGCCTAAAATACAAGCCTGCCTAACACTGAACCAACAAAAAATTTAGCACTTCAAATTTCTTAATTCCTAATCTAACTTCTTGGGAAGAAGTTAGAGTTTATTTGTTATATTGTTATCACATAACTTTCCTCTTATAGAACAAACATGTTTAGAGCCTCTAGATATCTGCCAGCCAACATTTGCAGAATGTCTGAAGGCAAAACAGATTTTTTAAAAGCCATTTCTGATATTTTCTTTATGAAAAATTAATGATGTAGTATCAGCACTCAAAAAGGGTCACAAGCTTATAGGTGGCTCCCAGTTGGCAGACTCCCTTTAAATTATGACTTTCACAGTTTGAAGGATGTAATCTAACATTTGCTTTAGAAAGTCAGGGTTTTACTGTCTTGTTTGAGCTTATCTACTTGTTTAAAAAGTATGAAACTGGAAGACAAAGGAAAAATGGTTATTTTCCGTAAACCTGTTTTGTCCTTATTAATAGAAATTTAACAGGCCTTTGAAATTTTAAGTGTGTTTGTTGCCCAGTGTTATGAAAGAACTGAATGAACCCAAGCAGTAAAATAATAGAAACTATGTACACAAAGCTGTTAGGAGCAGTCAACTTTTATGCCAAGATGTAGCTGCTTTACTTACCTGAAGTTGTCAGAATTTGTGTTTCAAATATTGAGCAAATATTCAAGGGTAAAATTTAGGTAAGTTTAAAACATGAAATGAATTCATTGTACAAATTATGTCAATACCATTGTTTTCAGTGTCTTTCTAAGGGGGTTGTGATCCACAACTGGTCTTCTCAGGGTTTTCCCCACGGGCACACAAGATAGGCTGCACTTTTTGTTTTTTCTTATAGCTGAACCATTTCTCTTTAGCAAAATAAATTTAGTTTGGCGTTTGATGTTCCATTTTCCATGTGTTAGCTCACTGTTTCTAACTCTTGCTATCATTTCCAGTAAGGCTACAAGAAAGAGTGGGAAAATATTGATGTAAAATACTGACTACCAGCTGTTGGGATTAACCAAAAAGGCTTGTCTGCATGTCCTTTCAGTGTTACTGTTTCAGTGTTACTTTCTTTTTAAGAAAGCTTACTGTTGTCATGGTTCATGTATTTGAATATTGAAGGTATAGGATTTTATATTTTATTAGGATAACATGGATAAATATATCTGAAATTTTTAAAGTATAATCAGTCACTAGATACTTAAATATATTGTCACTAAAGTGTTGCCTTGTAATTTCAAAGGGATTCTAGAACTCAGCCAACATTTGTTGAACAAGTCTTAGGCCTCTAATAGGTTGTTGCTATCATCCAAAATTTCAACGAAGGAAACTGACATAACCCACTGCCATGGAGTCAGTTCCAAAACAGACTTAGCCAGGTGACGTAACATTCCTGTGCCCAGCGTCACCCAGCTAGTAGGCAGCAAACCATCCTGAAGGCGGTGGTGGTTCACCAGTGAAGGTTCTACAGAGGAGATCTGGGCAGGATTCTCATTCAGCACATTCCATCTGCTCCTATCACCTTACTGTCATTGAAAACCTTCAGTCCTAGGGGACTTGTGAGCAGTTAACAGGGTGACTATTTCTAAAAACGGTAAATCTTCACCTAGTTGAAACAAGCATTTAAGTCCTGGGACTCTTCTGTAAGACAAATGTGCCTGGCCACGGAGTTTCTTCCCTTTCCATTTAGTTTTGAAGCAGAAAATGGAATAGCACTATTATTCATCCTGACCATTTTATGGTATTACAGCATTAGGAGTGCTGGTGGCATAGTGGTTACAAGTTGGGCTATTAACCTCAAGGTCATCGGTTTGAAACCACCAGCCGCTCCTCAGGAGAAAGACAGGACTTTCTATGCCTGGAAACAGTCTCGGAAACTCACAGGGCACTTACACTCTGCCCTATAGGATCGCTGCGGCAGTATCACTTGATGGCAGAGTTTGTTTTTATCACATTAGTGGTTCAGAGCAGACTCCAGGGCTAAATTGGCTGTCGGAATCCTTGCTTCGCCCCCGACTAGCTATGTACCTAAGCTAATCTTTAAAATGGGCACAATAAACGTAACTACCTCCAAGAATTGTTAGGGGAGGACTCAGTGAGTTAATACTAGTTATTTCGAACAGAGTGAACACCACATACAAATATGCGCTGTGATGGCTCTAAGACATCTGGGAATCATCGTGTGTTTTGGTGCTCATACCCTTTAATGTATCCAGCAAGCAAGTATGTTTATGTACCAGATGACAGGCTCACAGAAAACAATGATATGGTGGCGGTGTGTGATAAATTGGTAGTGTGACTAAAAGTTACTAATTATAAAATATTCCGAAGTGTTACATATGCCATTGAATATATTTGATACAATGATTTTGATAACCAAGTATAATTTGTGGAGCCGTAAATAAACAATGAAACGTCTCTGGATTTCATTAATAGATTGTTGTAGTTGTGGTTAGGTATCAAACCAATGACTTCTACTCCCTACTTGTTCCAGTGATGTTCTGACTCCTTTTGAGTTTGTGTAGTTACTCTCAGGAGGCAGAGAAAATGAGTGGCTATAACTACAGTCCATCCCCATCAGGCACTTTGTATTGTCACATACTTTAAAAATAAAATTTCAGGACATAATAAGCTTACATGAGCAGCTGAGCTAGAAAATTGATCATACTTTTACTGATAAGGTTAGGGTTATGAGGGAGGGGGAAATCCCTGTATTCTTCCTTTGCCTCTTGGCACCTTATTTTCATGCCAGCCTTTGTTATTCACATTACTAAAACTATTATTTAGAGCAGACAACTTCTAAATTGTGTGTGCTTCCAAGACCAATTAGAAATGAAGAAAGCAGGCTTTTCCACCTTTCTCTCAGCCTTAATCCAGATTAAATTTGTCAGTTGCTCCCCCTCATTCTTGTGTCCGTTTCTTAAAGTGTGAGGCTAAGTGTCACTGTTTAGTTTGTACCCTCACCATCCCCAGACATAGAAGGACAAAGCCTCATCTGCCTGCTTCCGGCAACTGAGTGGAACACTCCCATTTGGAGAAGTGAGAGAGCTGACTTCTGGGTCTACAGGGCACTCAGTTGACTGCCTCGTGGATTTTAACTCTTAGACGCCTGCACCTGAGTTGAACTGGAACCCTTGGCATGGAGGGTTACATCTGGGGCTGATAACCTCCAGGTCAACAGTTTAAAACCAGTAGCCTCTTGGAGGGAGGAAGATGAGACTTCCTACTCCTGTCAAGAATGATGACAGTCTTGGAAACCCACAAGGGCAGTTCTACTCTGTCCTATAGGTTCGCTGTGAGTTGGAATTAACGCGATAGCAATGAGTTTTTGGTTTTGTGGGTCCAATACTTATTTTTGTGTGATAATGTCATTAAGTGTTTAACTGAAATATAAGTTATGCTTTAGTGACTGTTTAAACTTGTTTTAAGTGAAATATCTACTCTTGTTTTCTTAATCTATGAAATATCAGCATGTAAAAATGTCCATGAATATTTACTAATCAAAGCATTAAAGCCTCATAAAATAATACAAAAGCATGAGCCCACTATTGATGGACTCTTAAGGAAGTTGAGTAACTCCACACACACTTTAGCAATTTAATTCTTAAGGAGTTTGACAAATTTAATTTGATCACTATTCACTGGGCTTAAATAACATCTTGTGAGATAAATAAGGCGCTGATTTTTCTTCAGACTCGTCGATGTAGTGAAATCGATCTAAATGTATTCATTTTCAGGGAATGTTCCATGTGCACATGAAAGCCATGCTTTCTGCTGTTACTGGGTAGTGGTGGTGGTTCTTGTTAGGTGTCATCGAACCCATCGCAACCCCATGGAAATGGGAAGTGCCCCGTGGGTTTTCTTACTGTAGTCTGCCAGCAGAAATCGTTAGGTCTTTCTCCCTTGGAGCCGTGGGGGGGTTCAAACTACTAGCCTTTCAGGTAGCAGCCAAACACGTTGTCGTTTGGGGCAGCAGCTCCTTTCTGGGTGGAGTGTTCTATAAAGGTCAGGTCGTGCCAATTGTAGTGGGGTGTTTTCTGTATTTCTGAGAAAGAATGAAGTCTCCCAACTATTAATTGTACATATGCCTCATTCGCCTTTCAGTTGCTTATCTTCATATATTTTGAAGCAGTTGTTAGATATTTAAGATAATTGTTTTCTTGGTGCACTGACTTTTTATCATTAGGTAATTTATTTGATAACACAGCTACTCTGGCAGATGAAATTCTGGTGGCTCCGCTGGTCAGCATTGGGCTGCTAACCTCATCATCAGCGGTTCAAACCCACCAGCTGCTCTGAGAGAACGCTAAGGCTGTCTGCTGCCATACCGAATCTTCATATAGGGTTGCTATGAGTTGGAATTGGCCTGGCTGCTTTCTTTTAGTTCATGTTTGCATATATACATTTTTTCCATTTTATTTCAAACTACTTATATCATTGGAATTAAATCTCTTATAGGCAGCACACAGTTGGTTTAATTTTGAATTTCGTTCTGAGAATCTGCCTTTTTGTCCACTTAGACCATTTTCATCTAATGCAGCTGTTGATGGGGAAGTTGGGATTTAGTTCTGTCATTTTGTTTCATCCCACTTTTGTTCCTCTGTGTCTCCCTGTCCTGGTTTTCCTGAGTTGCCTAGGCACCTTTCACTGTTCTCTGAATTTATCTGGTGTGGTTTTGACTAGTGTCTCTCTGGCTAGGTGTTTTTGGTGGCGCCTCTAGAAATGAAATGACTGTAATTCCTAAATACCTAAGAGTGAGCTTTCTTGTTACGTCCAACTAGGATATTCTCACCTGTTGCCAGTTTCTCATAGAAATACTGTAAGTGCTCTTGTTGAGGGAGCTCAGCCTCTGGAGTTGAGGGGATTTCAAAATCAGAGGAGCTCTGAGAGTCTGCCTTAGTGCTATGTTTCTCACTACTTACAGCAGTTGGTTCGCCAACATCAGGAACTATATTTGCATCATGAGCTCTGCTTTTCAAATCAGAGCAAGCATCCTTTTGGTAATTTTGTTCTATCTGGGATGCCGGAACATTCTCTTTGATTCTCGGTCTGTAGCCACCTTTGTGTAAGGAAGTAAAATCACTACAGTTTCTCTCTTGGGACAGTAACAAAACTGTGTCTGATTGGCTGTCCCAGCCTTGGCTTCCTTGTTCTGATATGTGTGTTGACTGAGAAGAAGTCTGGGAAGAGATGTGGGTTGATTCCCCATCAGAGTCGCTGAAAAGCCTTGGTGACTGAGAAGCCCCGGCCTCTGCAGAAGATGGGAAGTTTTCTGAACCATCATCTGCAATGTCATCATTTCTTTTAAAGAATACGTCCCATTGTGGCGCATCCATTTCAGACTTTTGCAGGTGGGGTGTTACAGGGTCCACAGTCCCCTGCGGTGAAGCCACACTGTCCAGTTCTTCCTCGCTTTCACTGTTGGATTCTGGACAGTCTACAAAGTTGGTCATCGGAGAGGTTTGTGCACTCCCTTCTTTGTAGGCTCCTGTTGTTTGTCTTGGTTTTCCGGGCTGGTTCTGTGATACCACCGTCACTGAGAAGACCTCAGGCTGAAGAGTCTGCTGGGTTGGAACCTTGTGCCTCACCGGTACTAGTGGAGGGTCATCAAAGAGATCACCAGCTTCCTCCTCTGAAAAAAACAAAACAGGTTTATAGGCAGCAGCATGCAAAGGGAGCCAGCCTGTGCTTTCCATTAAAATCCAACTGCTACAGCAGTTAACCCTTGGCTCACAAAGAACAGGGAATTCACTCTTCTTCAAAGAGAAATTCACAGGCCCCTTATTCTTGGGATATTCTGGACATACTATGTACCATTGTTCAGTTTCTCTCATGCCAGCTAATAAGCAGAGACGTGAGATCTGTGTTGCCACATCATGCTCTCTGCCTTAGATCGGGATTCCCACACCTGGCTGAGCATTAGCTTCATCTGGAGAGCTTTTTAAAAATGTAACTTTCTGCAGCTCATCTCAGACCCACCAAATCAGTCCCTGAAGATGAGATCCCGCAATTGGATCTTTGGTTTGGTTTAAGTACTGCAGCTGGTTGTGTTCAAGAGCTGAGTTTGCAAACTACCCAAAAGAGGAGTTTGCAGATCTGTGCTCTGTAGACAGTAAATGCTTCACTGCTGGATGTTTCGATTAAAAGCAAAACAAAACATTGACCTCCGACCCCTTGGGTTTTTCTCTTAATGTTTGAATAATACTTTGTGCACAGGCTGAGACACAAATTAGAGCAACTTTAACCCAAATACTGAATAAACTACATACTAAACATACTACATACATAAAATGTCAATTAAAACATGAAGTACTTAGAGGGAATAAATACTTCCCTGCCCTCTAATAGCACCTTAACAAGAGTAAAGGGAATTGGGTCCTCCTGAGGCTGGGGAGGGAAGGAGACGGAGAGGGGCCTTGCCTGGCAAGCTGCTTTTGGATTTCAGCCAGGAAAACACAGGGGAGCAGTTCTAATGGTCGCCACATGGGGGCGCCGTGAGTCCACCGACCCCACCACTGCGAAGAGCAGCCGTGTGTGGAAGCTTATCCTGCTAAATCTGATGTTAAGTTCTAATAACCTTACTTAAAAGATCAGTGTTTTTTCCGAGGGCAACGGATGTAGCTGACCTCTGTAATTTTTAAAAGGCACTAGTCACGAACCATAGAAGGTAACGTGCGGCTCCCATTCTACCAATAAGGAAATTGGCCCTGAGAAGGTGCAAGACAATGCAGAGGCCACAACACTAACTGGTGGCAGTCAGAACTCAAGCCTAGTTCTCAGGTTGAGCATTCTACTGTGATTTATGATGGTCTAAACAAGGAAGGGTATCAGTCTGCACCCACTTGATGGCGGTGAGTTTGGTGTGGTGGTTCTTTCCCAAAGGGCTTATGGTGACCATGACATCTTTCGAATGATTCTAGGTAGGGCTTATGGTGACCATGACATCTTTCGAATGATTCTAGGTAGGCTTTACTCTATGTAGTTGTTTTAGCTCTTCCACTGGTATACCAGGGAGTCCTTTTTGACGAAATATTTTTGTGTTCTCTCTAAATCAGACAGCTTTATGTTCTTCAGGATCAGCCAGTATACCAATATCCAAGTATGTTTCAATTTTTACAATGCTCTAATTTCTCTAATTATAATCACATCATCTCACCTGCATGCATCTGAGAAACAAGTGATACGTCTATATTTTTGGAAGCTTATTCTGACAATTATATAGTGCTCTTTCTATTATAACCATATAAAAATCTTGAATTCTCTATATGAAAATGGAATGGCATATACCACTGATAAAGTCACAAGAAGTGGAAATCCTTGGAAGTTGACACAAACTGATCATTAAAAACACATCAGAGTTTTTCCTTTTAAAGTGGCCACGCCAAAGCCAAACCCACTGCTACCGAGTCCAGTGTGGCTGGGCAAGCCTACAGGACAGAGAACCGCTTCCAGGCTGTGAGCTTTGCAGGAGCAGGCTCCCATTTCGGTCTCCCACGAAGGGGTTGGTGAGCTCAAACCACAGACCCTTTGGTTAGCAGCCCAGTGGTTTCACCATTGTGCCAGCAGGGGTCCAAGAAAAAGGGCAAATGCCATGAACTGCTCAGATACTGTCCTGTCATACACTTGTCAACGTTTGCATGAATTGTTATGCAGGGCACCGAGTGAAAGGTTAACAACCGCCTCAATGGGTATAAACATAGGTGTGTACATATGTAAATATATTCATAAAAATAGAGGTATTGGCCTATGTACATATATTTATAGGGCAATACATATAAATGTATTGGGCCTCTGCTCAAACCTCCCCTCAAAGCAAGAACACTTTGTTCTAACAACCTGGCATTCTGTGATACTCACCCTACCCTACACCAGCAGTTCTCAATCTGTGGGTCACGACCCCTTTGGGGGTCAAATGACCCTTTCACAGGGGTCACCCAATTCATAACAGTAGCAAAATTAGTTATGAAGTAGCAACGAATGTGATATCACTATTTAATTGTATGATATGTGAATTATATGCCAATAAAACTTGAAAATATTAAAAAAGAAGAGCCACCACCAGTGGAGGTACCAGAGGTTTATCCAGGTCGAAATCATGAGACAGCAAAGGAACAGTGCTGAGACCATTAGGCAGCACGGAGGAGCAGTGTTGAGATCGCAATGTGCTGTTTGGCCCAATGAACAAGGCAGAGGCCAGGAGACCGCATGGCTGAAAGGCTAAGAACCAGAGAGATGTGGCTGCAGGGTGAGAAGAGGCACTGCTGTGAACCAAAGAACCTGCTAACTTCTGTAATAAATTCCCATAATCATGAAAAAAAAAATTATGGTTTGGGGGGGGTCACCATAACGAACGGTAATTAAAGGGTTGCAGCATTAGGAAGGTTGAGAACCACTGCCCTTAATGATTGCTGAAGACAAAATGGGTGCATAGGCAAATGTGGTGAAGAAAGCTGATGGTGCCCAGCTGCCAAAAGATACAGCCATCTGGGGTCTTAAAGGCTTGAAGTTAAACAAGCAGCCATCTAGCTCAGAAGCAACAGGCCCACATGGAAGAAGCACACCAGCCCGTGCAATCATGAGGTGTTGACAGGATCAGGTAACAGGCATCAGAAGACCCAAAACAAAAAAAATATTGTTGAGAACGAGGGGGCTTGGAGCAGAGACCCAAAACCCATCTGTAGACAGTAGGGCATCCCTTCACAGAAGGGTCACAAAGAATGGATAAGTCAACCAGGCACAGTTTAGCACCGATGAAACACAACATTCCTCTAGTTCTTTGAGGCTTCCTCACCCCCCACTATCGTGACTCCAGTCCTGCCTTTCAGTTCTGGCTAGACCGGAGCAGGTACACTGATACAGATAAAAGCTCTCAACACATGAAATCCAGGACAGATAAACCCCTCAGGGACAGTAATGGGTGTAGCGAAACCATGAGGGTAGGGGGGAGGTGGGGGAGGAGGAGAGAAAGGGGCAACCGATCTCAACGATTGATGCATACCCGCCATCCCCCTTTCGGGGCGGGGGACAATGAACAGAAACATGAGTGAAGGGAGACAGCAGTTGATGTAAGATATGAAAATAATTCATAATTTATCAAGGGGTCACAAGGGTGGGAGTGGGGAAGGGTGGAAAAAAACAGGAGTTGATACCAAGGGCGCAATAGAAAATAAATGTCTCGGGGGAGCGGGGAGGGAGGGGAAAAATGAGGACCTAATGTCGGGGGTTTAAATGGAGAGAAAATGTTTTGAGAAACGATGTACAAATGCGCTTTACACA